ACCTGTGCAGCTTCACCCTCAGGCGTGCTGCACACCTTACAGCTGCAATCGGGCGCGCGGTGCTGAGCAGCCCCCGGTCCTGGGCGCGTGATACCTGATGGCAGCTTTAAGGGGTGCTGTGCAGCCGGGCGCACGGCGCTCCTTACCGCTGCCATCAGGTGCCCCCCATAGGTTGGTGCCCCGGGCAGCTGCCTGGCTAGCCCTCCACTTAATCTGGCTCTGCATGCGGTGCATATGGGGCCCCACCCCAGACGCGTGGTGCATGCGCCACCCCGCTCCCTGCATGTATGGCGCGTGAGTGGCCCCGCCCCCGGGCGCCCGGCAGCCCCAAAAGGTTGGGGACCACTGCCCTAAACGCTTGTGTTAGTTCTTGTCCAGGTTCAAAGCCAATCTTTCTGAAGTTTGCAAAAGATCAGATTAATTTTTTCTTTTGTCCATCACTGACCCTTCTCCCCCATCTCTGCTTGTGCAACAGAAACACTAAAATACCATGGAGTTTCTTTTAGATCATGTCTGTCCTGATCAATACCAGGAAGTGTGAAATATCATGTCTACAAAACCTCTTTTAGGCCACAGAAGTTCAGATAAGCCAGCCACCAGGCACTGACACTGGGGTTGTAAAACTTTATAGTGCAATCTAGGTCTAGAGTGACTTAGTAGAGCCATTTTTTTTCTTCCTCACCTCCACAAAACACTGCCAATAACTGAGGAAGAGATTTAGCTTAATCCACCCTGAGAAAGCTGAGAAATAGACTTTCCACATTAATTCAGTGACGTTGTATTACATGACAGCATAAGCAACACACACCACTCAGGTTCAGATTAGAACCTAGACCTGAGGTGTTAAAATAAGAAATTTGTTTACCCAGGATGTCTCAAAGAAATAACTTAAGTCCAGAGGTACCTAACAGCAATGATTGCTTATGTGAATGCTGTATCTAATTGGAGGATATAAAGTCCTTTGCTGTGCCGACTTTTATGATGTCTTCTATGGACTCTAATGTCTGTCATTTACAGAAGCCGTTTGCCATTCTCATATCTGAGGTCCTCATGGAGGAATAAGAGGAAGAAGCATCCAGTTCCTGTTTGGCCATGACTCATTATTAGGGGTCAAAGAGGAGTAGCTTTGCTGCTAATTTCTTTCTAACTTAACGAATATGTCTGCACTTTCACCCTCTTTTGAGAAAGGGATGCAAATGAAGACATTCGAAATTGCAAATGAAGCCGGGATTTAAAAATCCCACACCTCATTTGCATAATCATGTTATGGCGCTATTTTGAAATACAAAACACAGTGTAGATGCTGTTATTTCGGGAGAGCACCCTTCTTCCAAAATCACCCTTAACAGCATCTGCACCACGTTTTGTAGTTTGAAATAGCGCTATAACGCGATTAATCAAATGAGGCACAGGATATTTAAATCCCGGCTTCATTTGTAATTTCGAATGTCTTCATTTGCATCCCTCTCTCGAAAAAGGGTGCAAGTGTAGACATACCCTCAGCCACATGCATTCCTGTCAGAGATGAATTAGTTTCTTATGGAAGGATAAGGTACTTGCTCTGAATATAATGGGCAGCGACCACAGACACCAGCAGGGAATGTTAGCAAAGCTTCTACAGTTATTCTGTGTGTCTCCCAACTCAGAGACTAGTCAGCAAAGGTGCCTTTGTTTTCCGAGAACTGTATGTGAGAGAAATATGGCAAGAGAAAAGGAGTATCAAATTAGAATGTATTAAGGGGGAGCTAAGTTAAGTAAGAAGCCACAAACAGAACCAGCAGCCAGACACACAACAGACTCCAGGGAAAATCTGC